CTGTGTTGTTGACTGAATGGCTTTCCGAGATGTGTCTGTGAACTGGTTGAGATTACTACGTCAGCACATGATCGCGGTGGCGGCGGTTAGACAACGGTGATGTCGGTAAATCGGCTATCCTTCTGACTGTCACAGGCCTTCTTGATGGACGGGCAAAAGAGGGGCGGTACATACAAACGTTGGCAAAAAGTACAGTGGATTCCCTATTTCATGAAACTTCAACCGATGAGAATAAGAAACGTCAGACAGAAGTGTTCGTATAAATTGTAAATCATGCCTCGCAACAAATGTAATTTGAAGAAAAAATGTTCGTTGGGATAAAGAGGTAAATTAACTCGGTTAATTTTTGAGACTGCTTCCTCAACTCGTCTTCGGACAAACGACAATGTGCGACGAACAACTAAAATTTCAAACGTGTGGAAAAAGCCAAGAGTCCTATGGTGTGGGAGCTGAGTTGTAGTTGTGGCTTCTGTCACTCTGTGTTGTGCGGTCAGAGTCTCTTCCACCTAGCTTTGAGATCTTTATGAATTCCATCTAACTCTGTATGTCATTTGATGCATGAATCGTCAGAGTGCATGGCCTCAAGGAATTTATTTGTATAAACTGGAAAACAGGCATCCCAAGAAATTTTAATTTGAAGAACACGCATCGTCGGAGTTTGCCCCTCCAAAAGTGGTCAATAATTTCTTGAGGCCATGCACTCCGACGATTTATGCATCAACCACCACATAGATTTGGATGGTATTTATAAACACGCCAAAGAACGGTGGAAAAGACGAAGGCCGCACGACACAGACTGACTGAGGCTACACCTACCAATCAGGTCTCACCCCATATAACTATTGCTTTTTCCGTATGTTTGAAGTTTTAGTTATTCATTGCATATTCCCTGTTAGTTCGCAGAGGAGCCGGGGCACCAGACTCGAAAATTCACCAATTAAAGTTACTTTTTTATCCCAAAGAACCTCTTCTTCCTCAAGAAATTATGTCTTTTGGAGGGGCAAACTCCGACGATGGGTGCTTTGTCCCATGCGTCAACCGGCACAGCTAGAATTTATAAACATCTCAACGAGAGATGAAGGAGACCAGGACCGCACAACACAAACTGACAGAAGCCACAACTATCAATCAGCTCACCGGGCATATGACCATTGATTTTTCCGCACGTTTGAAATTTTAGTTGCACATTCTCCTTAGTCGGAAGACGAGCTAGGGAACCAGTCTCGAAAATTCACTGATTAAAATTACCTTTTATCCCAAGGCACATCTTTTCTTCAAAGATAAAGTATGTGCGATGGTTGGAACATCATCATTAGCAACAGAAGAACCACCATGTTCGTCCCTATTGGTTGCTGCTTTGTCTTAGGGCGATAGGGCGCACTGACACCGGCTGCCCTGTCAAAGTTTTCTGGCCCCTGGATTATTGGTCCCCCCCCCCTCCAACATAAGTTATTGCACCAGTTAACTGAGATGTGTCCAAAGCCACCTTATGAGCAGAAATCCAAAAGACTGCACGCATTATCGGACCCCAGATGAAAGGAACAACTACGAGTAGAGGGGATGCTGTGTATCACAAGTTGTTGATGGGTTCATGGCTCCTAAGGCCTGCTT